TATGCGACGCAGACTATGGCAACTGGACAATACACGGAGCAAGCAATTGCACCTTTATGGCATACGGATCTGCTGACATGTTTTACTACCCAGCTCACCAATAAGTGGCGTAGTACGATTCGTCAAGACACTCATCGCTACTTGCTTTGCGGCACAAGGCCATCAGATCTCAGCGGTAAGGACCTAATCACTCAGGAAGTTCTTCACCGTCAAGAACTGGTTCACCTCGCAAGGGCAAGGTGCGGGGAATCTGAGCTCTGGGGTCGACTATACTGGGCTGTGAGAGATTGCACGAACCAATGCCGTTTCTGCAACATCTCACCAGAACAGTCTGCATATATGCGCTCCAACAACGATCCAACTGCACCGGGGACGGACACTGTTCCCCTGTCGGCAAGGGAGGAAGACGTCTCTCCAGTAAGGAGACGGACCATCACACGTCGTCGGAAGGAGAAATGTCCGTACTGTGATTCTACATTGACGGGATTCTCGAATCTCGTCAGTCACTGTCGGTCATTTCATCCGGAACATCCTCCACCGCTTCCTGAGCTCAAATGCGATTTCTGTGACATGGTTTTCCCCACACGGAGAAGCACCGCACAGCACAGAAGTCGCTGCGCATACAACCCAGACGCCACTCGACATCGAAACAGCAGTGCCAGGAGGCGATCTCTGCTGCCGCAGGATCAGCCAGCTTCCACAAGCACGCCGATTGGCCCGCAGGAAACCTTGCACCATCTGCTTCTAGAATGTCCAGGCACCTTGGCTGTGCGCCAACGGCTGGGCATTGAACAGGACCTCCGCACCGAAAAGTTCTCTCAATGGCAGTTGCTTCACAGCAGGAAACTCTTGTCGCTGCTCGACCACCTCTTCGGCACTCAGATGGCAATGTATAGCTAGACGCGCTGGTAAGAGTAGAAAAAAAAAAAAAAATGTTGGGCCGATATCTCGTGGAGGAGATGACGCTGCCGCCAGTTCTCTGCTGGTGAAAAGTGAGGGTGAACTGATTTTACTGTACGAGAAGAGGAATGGTGACGTGCCATACAGTCTTTTCGCCATGCGCCTGACTGAGCAGCTGGAGCGGATAAAGTCTGCGGTGAAAACATGGAAAGAATTGGACAACGCCTTGGGAGTTACCACTGAGGGGCTGGTTGGTTTTTTGTCCAGCACATTGGACGGGACTGCATGGAAGGACGAGTACCTCTGCGTGAATGCCACAGTGACGGGCGGAGTGACCAGCACGGAGAGCGGTGTAACGCTCAAGGGAGCAGAGGCGCAGTGGCCTGTTGGCGACATGGGGCAGACTGTGCCGTACTACTTTACAAACAACAAGTTCACTCTTTCGGCGACGGTGACCATCCACGAGGTGCCGAAGGAAGGCAGCAGCCCCATTCCTTTGATTGGTGCGAGGCTGAACGACAAGGACAGCACGGTGCTCTTTCAGCTCTCGTACACGAGTGAAAGAAATTGGAACCTCACACTTCACAAGATGGATTTTTTGGTGAAGCCGTCTGGTGATGTTGGCAATTGGGAAAAAAACACGGTAATTCGAGTGACGGTGCAAAAGAATAACGATGATGAGTGGTTTGTGTACGCTAATGGGAGAACGATATACGAGACGGATGAAGAAGAACTGGAAGAGGAGGAACTGGCTAGGCTCCGTAACGCTGATCAGTTTGGTTCACACAGGATCTCACACTTCTTCTTTGGTGCGGGCAATAAGGATGATGAAGGGAGCAGCCCTGTGACGGTGGCTGATGTCCTTCTGTACAACCGCATACTGTATGGTGATGATTTCAGAAGCCTCAACGCCAGGACAGCCCCTATTCGACATCCGGCTGCCGAAGAACTGGACACTGCGGTGAAAGTCACAGCGACGGAGGAAGAAAAGCAGAAGGTCAGACAGCTGGACGTTGCACAGCTGGCAGCTGCAACGCGGGAGGCCACAACGCAGGAAGAAACACAGCCGGCAGCTACACTGCAGACGGCCACACAGCTGACGACTTCCCTGGCAGATGTTGAAGAGGCTCCAATTGCACAGCCGACTGACTCTCAGTCTGTCCGTGTTCTTGCGGGCAGTGAATCGAGTGCTGAGAATGTTACGGACGGATTGAGTCCACACACTGCCGCTAAAAATGACACTTCCTTTTCAGAAACCAATCACTCAGCATCCGATGGCAGTATGAGCCTAGACGACCGCCTCGCCCTGATCACCGACGCGAAATTGATCCTGCATGATTTACGTGGTGACAGCACTGCGTTTGCGTGCGTCTCCCGGGCGTTGCTGCTTCTTCTGGGACTGTGTGCACTTGTGGCACTCTTGTGAGCCGAAGAATGTGAAATTGCGACTCCTCACGGAGATTGTGTGGCGCGTTCCCCGCGGGTTCTTTTTTTTTTTTCTTTTTTTCTTTTTTTCTTTTTTTTCTTTTTCTTTTTTTTTTTTTTTTAGGGTTTTGTTGTAATACTAAGTAATTCTTTTTTCCTTTTTTTTTTCAGTTTTTGGTTGCTGCACACTGTTATGAGTGACGTGTTTCCCCCTCTTGTTTGCTTCTGTTTTTGCCCACACGCGGTGCCGGCCCTGCGGCTGTGCGTCCCACGGACTGCATGAAGGGAGGATTGGAAGAAAAGGCCGGATGTCGCAATAAAAGTGAAGAGTGTTGTGTGGGCTGGTGGAACAGTAAAATTTCATTTTTTTTCGTTTTACTTTTTTTTTTTCATTTCTGTTTTTATTCTTGGTGCAGGTAATATTTATACAGAACACACGGTCGTCTTTTGCTGAACTGGCACATGAAGTAAAAGTCCTGCCGAATCAAATTTTTTTTCCTTTTTTATATTTTTGGGAGTTTTTCTGAACTCCTACCCTTTTGTTTCTTTTTTCTTTTTTTTAAGTCCCTGCGGACTTTTTTTTCTCTGTGCCATGTCCACTGCCAATTTGTGTCCTTGTGTCCCTTTTCTTGTCCCTCTGCTGACCGTGCTGTTGACACGCCCCTATTGCCTCTTTTTTTTCTTACCCGCTAGAGGCACTGATATTCCGCGAAGACGATTGTTTTTGTTCGCCTTTGCGATGTCAAAAGATTGGCTGGACGCCGTGCCCCGGTCTGTTGAGTGCACTCGGAGTGGAGCGGATGGTGTGCGCCGTGCCCCACTGTGAGTGTATGGCGCCACTCGCCACAACCTGCTGTGAGGCGTAATGCCTATCCGTCGGGGCGGAGGGAAGTAAAGTGTAGCGCCGTGGAATTGTATGCGCCCCATCTCTCTCGTTGCGGTCGTGGGTCTGCTGTGCGCATGACTCTATCTTGCGGCGCGACGTGGATGGCGGCGCTTCTGCGTGCGTTGTGCGGCGGGATTCGCTTCTCCATGTCTTTGTTCTTTTGTGTGGGAAAGTTGTGGGAGAGGATGTGTGCGGAGGAGTGAGCGTGGGTGGCTGCCAGCACCGCCCGCGCATTGGGGACTTCCATACAAGTGGCTTTGCTCGACGGCGTTTTGCGGCACCCAGGGCGTGGCGAGGAGGAGGATGGGGAGGGTCTGTTGTGGGCAGAAGGTGGATGGATGGGACAGTCCCCTTCCTTGCCCTTCCCCGTGCCGTTGGCAGTACATACTGAGAGCGTAAATTTGCGCGAGCGCGGGATGAAACGTTTATGCCGCTTTGTGTGTGCTACTCAATCGTCGTCATTGCATGTTGTCGTCACGGTGCGTTGTGGTGCGGTGCTGTTTGATGAGGGAAGGGTGCGATGCTACGGCTGCTGCGCACCACAACCATTTATTGCCTCTGCACCGGCAATTTTTTTTTTTTTTGCGCTCGCATAATATTTTATTTTGCTCCACGATGAATTTGTTGGAGGAGGTTTGGCTTTGGTGCCTGCTTCACGGTGCTTCGCCTTGTGTGTCGGTTGCGGTGCTTCCACGTGATGCTAAAGCGTTTGATGAGGTGTTTACCCTTCATTTTGAGTCCTGCAGCCAGCCTTGTTTGGTCATTGCGGCTGCAGTGGCACTCTGCGGCTGCGTGCTTGTCGCACGTGTCGCATCTCCCGCTGCTGCTCCTTTGCTGTGTTGATGGGGAGGAGGCGGGTGACGGCGTCGGTGGAGTGGCGCCCCAGTGGAGAGGGAAGGCACTGACCGCCGCTGACGGTGACGGTCTTTGCTGCAGGCGATCTGACGAGATGACGTCACCGGTGTCACAGTCAACCGAGATGGATGAGGGCCGCACCTTCTTTCTCTCCCTTCCTTTTATCCTTTTACTCCATTGCTGACTGACGAATTGCAGGGCAGCGTCGTGATTACAAACCGGTCGTCTATGAGTAAACAGGCCGCACAATCGATGTGAACTCTTGTCCCTCGTGTCTGGGTGCCGCCACCGTACTCCTTTATCCTTCCTTCTTGTGTGTGCCGTGTGCGCGTATGGTGCCGCTTTTTTTGTGCAATGCCGACCCACGTGAGGGAGAAACGGCGTTTTGACTGCTGGCGAACGGCGAATCCTCCGCTCATTTTCCGCATCACTATTTTATCCTCGGTCGCGCTCGATGGCTGCCGGTTGTAACGATGCCGCGTGGGTGTCTTGCCCCTTGTGTGTCTTCCACGGCATCGGGACTGCTCTGTGGTAGAACCATTTTGTTGCAAGAGCGTTGCCAATGGCCACATGTCGTTTTGCAGGGATCTTACCACTCTGCATGGTGGTTGTGTGGGGCTGCGCGGGCGGTGGGAGGGCGATGGTGTCACTGGGCTGACTGCGTTTGCCCGTATTTGTGCCGGTGGATCTGCTTTTGTGGGGATTGTCCGTGGCCAGATGCCTCTGCGTGTCACTGTGTTTATTTACTGTTGTTGCTGCCTTTTCCTTTTCTGACCGTGCAGTTAGAGATACTTTGGCTTGACCATCACAACTATCGTTTCAAGGTGTTAGGAATTACTTGCAGTAGTAGGATTAGCAGCAGTATTATAACGTTCTGGTGGAATCGCTTCACTGGATTTGCCATCTGTAGGAAGGGATTTGCCAAGCAGGAGTTATGGTTGACGGGGCGAGTGTGACATACCACGACGGCCCCGTTGGTACCTGTTTGGGCTGGTGGATGTGGTGTGCGGTGGGTGCGTGTCCGCGTGGCCGGCACCGTGTGCGGCGCATGGCCATTGCGGCTGTGCGTGCGGCGCTGCTCGTTGTGTTGGCGCTGGTTGCGGCGGCGGCGTGGATGCCCGCAGTGCATGCGGTGGTGTTGCGACTGCGGGGCGGTACGGTGGACAGAGCCATCACGGTTGGCCGCGCCGTGGACACGGTGCTGATGGACGGTGTGTCTGTCACGAACGGTGTGGCTGTGGTGTTCGACGTGCCGGCGATGCTTCCCGGCGCGCTGCGCATCGAATTGAGGAACTGCGTGTGCGACGGCGGTGCGCAGATCTACGTGCGGGGCTACAGCGGTGAGCCGGCGAGTGACCGGAGCCTGGAGGTGGGCGTGAGCGGGCTGTCCGGGAGCTACTGCTCGCTTGTGCTTATGCACAACCTGCCGGCACACACGAACGTGACGGTCCGTGACTCGAAGATTGTGACGGCGGGGCCGATGCGCTACTCGCAGCTGAGCGGGCTGACGGAAGCGGTGGCGTCGCCGCTTGTGCTGCACGCGACGTCGCTGTTGCAGTCGCAGCTGCGTGTGAGCAACACCGTGCTGAGGTCGTCGCAGGCGGGCGGGTCGGCGGTGTACGTTGGCGGCGGTGTGGACCTGCTGTCGAGCGCGGTGGTGTTTGACGGCGTGTCGCTGGAGGCGTCGGGCGGGGCGACCGCGTCCGCGATGCATGTGGCGTCCTTGTCGATTCTCAGTCTGCGGAGCCACTCGGTGTTCTCCGTGACGAACGTCTCGGTTGTGAGCAGCGGCGGCGGCATTGTGCTTGGAGAGCGTGTTACTGTGTCTGACTCGGTGCTGCGCCTCGTGGGCGTTGAGGGGTCTGTTGCGTCGTCGCTGGTGCGCTGCGACGGTGGGACTGTCGGTGCCGGCGGGTGGCTGGACATGCACGACGTGTGGGCGGTGGGCGAGGCGTCGTTGGTGGCGTCGCTGTCGGGGGTGACGCTGAGCGGCGGCACCGTGTCGATTGCGCGCTGCGCTGCCACTGGCGCTACGCTTGTCTCCGGGCTGGCGATCACGAGCGGGGCCGTGTCGGTGCAGTGCAACCGTGCGGGCGGCCGGGTGCTGCAGAGCAGCGGCGACTACCGCATGGCCGGCCTGCCCTCCGTGAGCGTGGTGCCGTGCGATGGCTGTGCAGCCGCGCTGGCGTGCTTTGATGCGCTGACGGCTTCGTTCTCGGACTGCGTGTGCAGCTGCCGTGCCGGCGGCATGGGCGAGGCATGCCTGCCGTTCAACGTGCCGCCTGCGAGGGCCGGCGGTGGTGGCGGCGCGGAGGGCTGCGTGAGTGGCGTGATGCTGACGGAGTCCGTGACGGTTGGCGGCGGGCGGGCGACGGCGTGCTTCGACTCGGTGGTGTTCAGCGGGCCGATCACTGTGACGGTGGACCTGCGCTCGATGGACGTGTTCGCTGACGCGCTGAACGTGACGCTGCGCCACTGCGTGCTTGCGGGCGGCGCGCAGCTGCGGATTGGTGGTCTCAGCGAGAGCACGGCACGCCCGATGCCCCGGGCCTTCGTGAACATGACGAATGTGACGTCGCTGGAGGGCACGATCGTGCTGCATGGCGCGATGCCGCTGCACTCGAGTGTGCTGCTGGCGAACTCAACGCTGCGCGCGACGGTTGGCGGGTCGCAGTACGTGCCGACGACCCGTGGACACGAGGGATCCCGGTACGGCACCGCGCTTGTCCTGGACGGTGTCCGGCTTCTGTCGACGCGGTTTGTCATGACGCGGTCGACGCTGGTGTGTTACGGGGGCTCGTGCGCTGCGATCCTCGTGGAGCGCGGCCTTGGCGTGAACCTGTCCAGCGCCTTCTACATGGACAACTGCGCAGTGAGTTCGCGGGCACATGTGATGTACGCTCTTGCGTCGGACCTGCGTGTCAGCGGCGGCTCCGTGTTCTCCATACAGAACAGCTCGTGGATTGCGCCGAGCATCGACTTCTACAAAGGCGCGTGTATGTTCAAGGAAGTTGCGGTGGATGGCGGCAGCGTACTGCAGATTGTGTCCAGCACGTTTCGTCTTGGCTTCGCCATGCTCATTGCAAACATGCTGACCGTGACTGACGGCAGCTGGCTGGTGCACCGCAACAACGAGTTCCACACTGCCTACGTTGTGTACGTGGCCAACGAGAACGGCGTGGTGTTTTGCGATCGGAGTGTGTGGTCGATACTTGACAACAGTTTTACGTACGGCTCTTATTCTTCCACTGCGTACATGACAAGCATCTGGTCACTGTCATCCGACGCGCGCCCGATCATCTACGGCATGTGCAACGAGCTAAGGGGCTCTGTCGTGACGAATTACCAAGAAGACCTCTACATTAGAATACCCGTGAGGGTGTTGGACTGTGGCGCGTGCACCGTGGACGCCGTGTGCTTTGCTGCGAGGACGAGCAGCATCAGTGGCTGTGAGTGCGTGTGCGCTGCTGGCGGCTACGGTGGCACGTGTCTGCCAGCTGCGGTTCCGGACGGCCTTGGGCCGCTCCCGCTCCCCGATGCGGACGACACGGAGGTCCGCTGCGTGCACGGCGGCAGCATAAGCTCCGTGGACGATCCTGATCCCGGTGTGCGTGGTCTGTGCTTCGTCAACGTGACCTTCACCTCCGCGATCGTGCTGGACCTGTCGCTTTTTGAGGCTCCAAAACAGACACTCAACATCACGCTGCTGCAGTGCGTCCTCATTGGCCTGTCGATCAGAGGGAGTGGTGCGTGTGTGCACGTGAGCGTGTTCTCCTCGATTTTGGATTTGGGTGCTTTGGAGTTTGAGGGTGATTTTGGCATGAGCTCCCAGATACTTGTGGCGGGTAGTGCAATTGTGACGACGTCGATTCACTCCATTCAATGCCTGATTTTTTCTTTTGGTGCGAACTCGACGCTGCTGCTACTCGACAACATCATTGAAGGGAAAAGTCACGCAGTGCATTTCTCCGTTGGTGTTGTTGACGGCGGCGGAATCATTATAAAGGGAAACACGCTAAAGGGAGCGGAGGAGGGCGTTCCGTTGGAATGTGCTGTTTTGTTTGAATCTGCTATTGTGAAGAATGGCGGATACTTTGACGTTGAGAACAACACGATGAGCGCAGTCAGTGGCATTTATTTTTATGGGGATGCCGTCGTGAGCTCCGCGGGGCTGCTGAGAGTGGCGGACTGCATCTTTTTTGGCAGCACGGAGGATTTTGAATCTGCGCTGGTGTATTTGTACGGCTCGGTGACTCTCGAGGGTGGTGCGCAGTGGCGTGTGACGCGCAACAGCGTGAGTGCAGCATCAGTATTAATTATATCGCATTCCAACTGCAAAATTCAGCTGTTGGGCAGCGGCAGCACCGTGATGCTTGCACACAACCGCCAGGTGGACGATAGCTGTCCTTTTGCTGAGATGTCTCTGTCAAGCACGCTTGTGGATTCACCCGCGCGGTTTGTGGTGGGGTGCAACCTGCAGGGCGATGAGGAGGTGTCGTACGACGGTGTGTTTCCGGAGGGCGTAGTGGTGTTCAGGTGTGGCACATGCAACGACGACGCGGCGTGCTACATGCTCGGGACGGAGTCGGTGGACCGCAGCTCGTGCTCGTGCAGCTGCAGGGTCGGATGGCATGGCGCGTCGTGTCTTCCCTTCGAGGTGCCCGACACGGTTGTGCCGCCCGTAGCGGAGAGAGCCGTCGACGGCGACACGAGCTGCGTGGTGAACCAGACGCTGACGAGCCTCACGCTGAACATGTGGAAGACGCACCACTGCTACGCGGGTGTGACGTTCAGCGGCGTGGGTGCTGTGCTGACATTCTTTCTCAATCGTATGCCGCTGCATCTCCCCATCAACATCACGCTCACTGGGTGCACATTCCGTGAGGGTGCCGCGCTGCAGTTTGTTGGAGGTGTTGGAGTGACCGAGTCAGCCGGCGTCCTGATCCGCGTGAGCCGGACAGTGATGAAATCCTCCGTCGTTTATTTTTCACTTGCCCTCCCGCTGCACTGCGACATCGCCGTCACGGAGGTTGATGCGGAGCAGTCCTTCGAGGTTAAGCTGCCCGTTACTGCAAGCAGCAGGCTGAGCATTGTGATGCTGCACGAATTTGTTTTGACTGCGTCCTCGCTGTTGGTCAGCAACGTCAGGGCACATGCCTTGAGGTATGATGGGTTTGGTTTGTACTCGATTGGGACGCTGAAGTTGGTGGGTGGCAGCTCGCTGTACGCGCGGTACTGCAGCTTCGATGGGTACACGCATCTGTTCTACGTGAATATCCTCACTGTGAGTGATCACTCTGTTTTTGCGTTGCTCAACAATACAATGGCCTCCGGAACAAGCCTTCTGCATCAGCAAGAAAACTTCATCGTCTCGGATCACAGCGTGTTTCGCATGGTGGGGAACAGCGGCTCCGTGTGCAACGCCATCTACTTACTAAGTTTGTTTACCGTCCAGGGGTATAGCTGGCTGGACTGGCGTGACAACGACGTGGGGGTGGGTGCGATGTTTCATCACTCCATAATAACTGCTGGTAACATCGACAGCAGCAGTGTGGTGACGCTGACGGGCTGCACGATGGGCTCGACGGGTTTGTCGGTGCCTTTCCTGAAGCGGGTTGGGGCCGGCTACCAGTTCTTTGCAGGGTGCCTGACGGTCGCGGGACGGGTGGTGACGACGGCGGCTGAACTGGAGCTCCACGGCATCACCAACGTGACGACGGTTGCTGCGTGCGGTGAGTGCACGAAGGACGGCGACTGCTTTGCCCCGCTGACGACGGCTGTCAGCGGCTGCAAGTGCCAGTGCGCTGCTGGAGGGCACGGCGATGTGTGTGTCCCGGCGCCTGTGCCTGCTGGCCCTCCGCCGCCGCCACTGCCCACTTTGCCGATTGGTGAGTGCATCAGCGACATGGTGTACCCCGAGGTGGCGCAGGCAGTGGGCGGCGGGCTGTCGTGGCTGTGCTACCGCAACGTGACGTTCAGCGGGGGTGGCATGTGCCTGACGGTGCTGATAGGGGCGATGACGGGCGACGTGGTGAATGTCACGTTCGATGGATGCACGTGGAGGGACGGCGCCGTGCTCTTGCTCTTGGGCAACGCGTACGCCGCTGTGGGGTCGCTGAACATCGTCGTCACCGGCAACACGTTTATTGACGCGCTGCTTAGCCCGGAGGGTGTGTTCCCACCGCACACGAACATCACGATCAGTGGGAACCGCTTTACGGTCACGAGGCTGATCCCTAGGTCTGGTTTGGACCTTAGGGGACCGTCGTGTGTTGCGATGAATGATCTGGTGATTACCAACGACTCCGCGGTGGTGCTCAGCGGCAACGTGTTTCAGACCGTGAGGGCATTGTCAAGCGCCATCCGCGTTCTCAGATCTGCGCTGAGGGTGTCGTGGCACTCCGTGTTTGCGGTGGTGGGCAACGCGTTTCATATGTACGGCGGTAACGGTACCTTGATATATCTTGAGGGGTCTAGCCAATCCTCATCGCTGAATGTAATTAACAACTCTGCCGTGGTGATTCGAGGCAACGTTGTGACAAGTCCAGTGAAGCGCTTCATGTTACTTTCTTGGGCATCCTATGTAGAGTCCCAGTCAGCGGTTGTGTTTCAGGGCAACGACATGCAGGGAAGCTCGGTTGTGTTTATCTCAGGCTACTCCTCCAGCATTTACTACAACTCCTGGCTGCAGTTGAGCGACAACCTCTGCCGCGTGTCCCCATCGGTTGTTTTTTCCCTCCTGAACCCCAGGGTGAATCTCCGCGACTCCACGGTGTCTGTTTCCGGCAACCAATTCATGTCCAGCACGGACACGCCGAGAGTGCTGTGGATAATTTCAGGGTCTGACGACCTCACAAACGGCGTGGTTGTGGTTGCGTGCAACACCGTGAACGGCGAGGAGGGGGTGAAATACAGCATCCCATCCGCGTACAATGCCACCATTCTGACCTGCAGCGACCCATGCGCCCTTGCGGCGTCGTGCTTCCCCGCGTACACGACGACGGCGTCGAGTGATGGCTGCGCCTGCACGTGCGCTGAGGGCGGCCACGGCGATGCGTGCCTGCCCGTTGCTGTCCCCGAGCCACCGAGTACCGACGGCGCCGACTTGTGCGTGCGGGACGTGCGTGTGGATGTGGAGGTGAACGTCGGTCCTGGGACGTCGGTGGCGTGCTACGTTGGTGTGACCTTTGCGGCAGACGTCTTTGTGGACGTGGAGTTGATGTCAGGGAGCGTGCGCAACGTGACGCTGGCGAACTGCACGTTTTTGGACGGAGCGAGCCTGTACGTTGTTGGGTGGCGGTCCGATCCGACTGCTGGCCAGTGTGCTGTTGTGTTGATCAGCGGGCTTGAGTCGCGCTCCGGCGGCGGCGTGGTGGTGGCGAACCGATACCCGCCGGACTCGCGCGTCACTGTGGTGGACTCGGTGCTGATTGCGGAGGCGCGTGTTGCGTACCGCGGCGCCTACGACCTTGGCGACGCCTCCGCGTGCCTCGTGTTACACAACGTGAATCTGACGGGGAGTGTGCTGGCCATCGCACGCACGCAATTGGCGGCGGTGTTCCGCGACGCTGTTGGCGTGTTGGTGGTTGGCGGCGTGGCGCTGTCGTCGCGCGGTGCGCTGTACGTGGACGGGCTTTTTGTGCAGACGGCGCTGGGGCTGTGCGTGTCTGTGGAGGGCGGTGTTGCGGCAATTGGCGGCTCTGTTGCGGCGTTTGTTGACAGCGACTTCCTGCTGTGCAAGCACGCGGTGTCTGTGCGTGGGGCTGTGAGCGTGTCGGGCTCCGCTGTGGCACTTGTGCGGAGCGACTTTGTGTCGACGGGGGACTACGCGGTGGCGTTTTATTCGACGGTGAGCCTTGCCGGCGGGTCGATGCTGCTGGCGAAGGGCAACGTGCACGACGGCGTCTTGAGGGAGATGCTCTACGCCGCTGGTGCCGTGAACGCTGCTGGGAGCACGCTGAGCTTTGTGCGCAACCGAGGACTGTTGCCGCGGATGCTGTCGCTGAGCCTGTCGCTTGTGGCTGGGGCGCATTTGAGGGTGGCGTGCAACGACGCTGGTGGAATTGTCCTGTCGACGGCGGAGGAGTACGCAGCGGCCGGCTTTGGCGACGCTGGGAGGATTGACGTTGTTGGGTGCGACGACTGCGACAGGGAGACGCACTGCTACGCTTCCGGGACGGCGTCGGCGAGCATGAGGAACGGTGTGTGCGTGTGCGTGTGCGGCAGCGGCGGGTACGGCGAGGCGTGCGTGCCTGTGGGAGCTCCCGTGCTGCCGCCTGCTGCGGGCACTGCGTCGAGTGTGTTTTTCCGCGAGGGCGTGACGGTGCGGTCGGTGTTCGTTGTGCCTGCCGGCGTGAGCGAGGTAACGCTGCGCCACGTTGTGCTGGACGGCGTGAGTCCTGTGCTGTACGTGCCGTGGATGGCGCGGGACGGCGTGCGGATCGTTGTGCAGAACGTGTCGCTGCTGAACGGCGCCGTGCTGTACGTGATGGGCGGTGGAGCGTTGCGCGGTGCGGGAGCGGCGGGGAGCGACGAGAGCGGGCCGGTGGAGCTGTCGGTGTGCGATGTGGAGGCGCTGAACGGTGCGCTTGTGCTGACCGGCACGTTTCCCGCGGGGTCCGTGCTGACGGTGACCGACTCCCTGCTGGTTGCCGCGAGGTTGACGCCGCTTGTGTATCTTCCCGGCTCGCGGTCCTCGCCGTACGCACCGCTGCTGGTGCTGTCGGGCCTGCGGCTCGTGCGGTCCGTGCTGGTTGTGTCTGGCGTTGCTCTCGTGACCGTGATGACTGGTGGGCGGACGGTGGTGGTGGACGGTGCCGTGCTGGAGCTTGTCGGTGGCGGTGTCGCGCTGGACGCGGCTGTGTTCGGTGGCGACTATGCGTTGTACGCGAGTGCGCGCGTGGTTGCGTCGGGGGGCGCTGTGCTGCGCGTGTCGGGGAGCCAGGTGTACGCCGCGCATGGATTGGTGTTTGACGGCGGGATGGTGGCCAACGCGTCCGCCGTCGTGGTGAACGACAACGCCGGTGCGCTGACCGGTGGCGCGCTGCTGGTGCTGCGTGGGTCGGCGTTGTTTGTGTCCGGGTCGTGGCTGTCGGTGCGCGGCAACAGCATCAGCGGCAAGCTCCTGTCGGTGCCGTCGTACCCGCGCAGTGCGGAATTTGTGCAGAGCACGCTGACGCTCCACGGGAACGCTGGCAGCGGGGCCGTCGTGATGGACGGCACCGTTGCGCTTGGGGGCGCCAGTCGAAGGTTCGTCGTGGGGTGCCTGGCGCTCAACGGGCAGGCGCTGGAGCCGATGGACTACAGGTCTGCCGGCATTATCGGGGAATTCCGTCCTGTGGCGTGTGGCATGTGCGACGCCGACGTGCACTGCTTTGCAGCAGCGACGAGGGCGATGTCGGGGTCGTGCCGCTGCCGCTGTGCTGAGGGCGGGTACGGGCGCGACTGCCTGCCGGTGTACCTGCCGCACGTGGACGGGTGCAACCGCACTCCCGGCATGCCGCTGCTGAGCCACACGGCAACGCTGACGGAGACGCACAGCCTGACGCCAACGTGGACGCCGAGCCTGAGCACGGCGCACTACAGTCCGACGCAGCACGGGCCGACGGAGACACTGCAGGTGACGGAGACGGTGGCGCTGCTGCCCACGCGGAGTCCAACGGCGTCGGTGAGTAGCACGCTGTGGTGGAGCGACGTGGCGTGCCCGACGCTCGCCGTGACGACGACGACGGCTGGCGGGAGCCTGACGCAGAACGACATTCGCGGCGGTGGGAGCGCCGTTCCAACGCTGCTGATGGTGGCGCTGCCGCCGCCGTTTCGATGGGCACGCGACCCGCAGCTCGGCACGCACCTGAGCTTTGTGCTGGTTTCAACGGCGCAGCCGAGCGGGTTTGGCGGTCCGTGGGGAGCGATGCTGCGCAACGCGACGTGGGTGCGCAACGCGACGAATCCGTCCACCGTCCTGGAGCTGGCTGTGCCTGTGCACCGCGGTTACTTCATTGCTGCCGACGAGACGATTTTCATTCGCTGCGACGCTGCGGCGGTGTCCGGCGGCTGCAAGGGTGTGCTGCTTGGGTCCTTCACGATCAGGTCCGACACGCTGCCCGCCGCTGCCAGCGCCCTCTCGGCGATAACCGGCGTCGTTGCGGGTGCGGCTGCTGTTGCCGTGGTGGTGACGGGCGGGCTGGGCTCCATTCTGGAGATGCAGGCACTTGGCGTGTTTGCAAGGATGTCGTGCGCCTCGGCGCAGGAGCGTGCGAGCACCGTTGCGCTGCCGTACTTCCTCTCGGTGTTTGCTGCCCTTGACCCGCTGTGGATGGTGGTGGGCAACGCGCTGCTTGTCGCTGTGTTTGGGTGCGTGCACTGCGGTGTGACGGCTGCCTTTCAGCGGTGGCGCGGCGTGGACGCGGCGAGTGCGTGGGCGGCGATGCGCTTCCCTAGTCTGACGTACGTTGTGGCGCACGCGATGCACCTCGGCATATTTTTTGGCTCCGTGCTTGCACTGGCGATGCCCGGCGCCCGCGTTCAGCACCGCGTGATTGGTGTCGTCGGCGTGCTGTACGTTGTGGCGTTCCCTGCTGGCGTGTGCTACTTCATTGCCCGCCACGTGGGCGCGAGCTTCACGAAGTACTGGCAGTTTTTGAGGAAGCCGCTGCACGAGCGCCTGCTCTACCCCGTCGGGTATTGGTATCCCGCGGCGCAGCAGCGGATGTACGGCAGCATGCTGACGAACATGAAGGGCAGCTACGTGTATTGGTGCGTGTTCCAGCTGTCGGTGCTGTGTGTGGTGTGCCTGATTGCTGCTGCGCACCCGCTCGTGGGAAGCTGCCACGTCCAGTACTTCTGCATGGCGGCTGTGCTGCTTGCGGGTGCGGGCGTGGTTGCCTTCACGAACATGATGCGCTCGGCCTTCCTGACAATGATGCGCACGGTGAGCTTTGTGCTGCTTGCGGCGCTGTGCGTGGTGAGCGCGGCCAACCACCTTGTGCCAAGCGACGGCGGTGCGAGAGCGTACGCGGCCATCTTGCTGCTGCTGACCGCTGTGCTGCTTGCAGTCACTGTGTACGGCGTCGTTGTGTGGTACGCGGAGGACCGCCACTGGCAGGAGCTGCGTGAGCCGCAGCGTGGAGGGCTGGAGGCGCTGCTGCGCGATGGCGAGGAGAGCGACGAGGACGTGCAGAAGCCGCACGAAATGACTTCATTGTCGTATGCCTCAGGCACCACCGTTGCGTCGTCGTACCGACCACCTGCACCGTCGCAGCCCATGGCCGGTGACACCCGCCCAGACGCCCAGAGCCTTCTCGACCGTTTATCCATTGCGAGCTGTACGGTTGATCACGCTCTTCTGTGATTTGCACCACGTGGAATTATTAATTGTTTGGTGCTGCTTGTTGGGGGAGGGCGCAGGGCCACGGATGTGCTGCGCACCACAGCCATCCATCGATAACAGCACCGACAGTGTTGTTGATCGTTGTTTCTATCGATTTGTTTCTATTTTGAGCGGGTGCTCTTAGGAGTTTCTCCCGTTGCATGATGATTGTGTGGAAGGGGATTTGCTTGTCGCTCCTGTTACTGCTGGTGTTGTGCTGTATTGGACTGTAGTTTTATGGAGTTGCGTGCGAGGAACTCAACGCTCGTTTTGTGCAATGGAAGAAGGATCCAGTGAACCGCCTAGTGGAAGCAATGAATTGCGGCTTTGCCTTATTGTGGATTTCCATGCGGGAGGCGTTGCAGTTCTCAGAAGCAAAGGGGCGACAGAGTAGTAGCAAGGTTCCGGGTTTCCAGGAACGTCTTTGAGCGGGTGGAGTATTGGGAGGTGACCACTTTCCTTTATTGGGCATGCCCTGGCGTGGCGAGTGCACAGGGTGATCTTTGTCTTTTTAGCGGTGGAATTGAAGGACCAAGCAATCCCTGTCACGTTTCACACTTATCCTTGAGCGCACCGCCGCCATGGCTGGATCCCTCAGGTGTGCACGTGGAACGTGGGAGCCTTGGATGCTGCGGCATTGGGATTCGTTGCCCGTGACGGCCCGCGTGTTTTGTGTGTGCAGGAGGTGTGACGGCCACTTCCGGCAACTTGCACATCCCTTCACGGCGCGGCCTTTAATTTAATTGGCACACCGCATTCCACAGGCAAGGGATATCGTCGCGGATTGGCCACGCTGGTACGGGGAAGCCTACACGAGGAATTTTTCCTTTTCCCAATTCCCTCCGGCCGTGCGAAGTTCATGCACCACAGCAGCTACAGAGGGGTGTGGTGTTGGCATGGAGAGTACGATATTCACCGAGACTCTTTCCACGGCAGCGTGCGTGTCTGCACCTTCTCGTTGAACCGTGGAAGCACGCGAGCACACGTCGACGGTTCTGGATCACCTGATGACTCACATTGTGGACGTGCCTTTCTGTCTGGCCCGCAGCGCCGAGGAGCGCACACACGGACGCAGTTCTTCTTCGGCCGCTGCGGCGTGACCAGGAACGAAGCTTGTGATGCTAAATCCGAGAAGGCATCCGACCCCGCACAGCTCACAGGCACATTGACCACCGGCATCGTCGC